CAACTTGACCAATAACCTAACACATGATGTTCTTACTTCTGTCTCTAAATTTAACATTTGTTCATAGTCCACATGGTCAATAAGTTTGTCAAGATTTAAAGATAAGACCAAAGGTCACTCTCAGTATGTTTGTCCACCTTACAATAGACACCAAATAAATTTCAAATCAAAAGACAGTATAAAACATTTGGAGATGCTCCAAGACTAAATAAAAATGTAAATTCAGCATAGTTTTCTTCCTCTACATTCCCATTTAAAGTTACTAAACCCAGACTATTTACCCTTAGTAAAAGACAAATGAAGCTGTCATAGATAGGAGATTTTGGAGGTCTTTCATTCATAGGCTTGCCATAAATTGAGGACAACTTGATGGCACATGACAACAAAAGAAAAAGCCCAGCATAATTACATCCCTTATCCTTGTACTATCTAATGGACAGTGGATTAGCTTCCTCTGTTTTAGTGGGACATTCATAAAAAAAGCATACAGAACATCATCATGTCCTATTTGAGCATCAAAATCCCTTGCCACAATCACAAAGCTTTCTGTATTAAAAGTGTCATTTAGTTAATATACTCTTCCAATCTTAACCAACTGCCTATAACCAAGTATAACCAAGTATTTTTGTTGCTGTGATAAATACAGACATTTATCAACAGTAAATGCTCTAAATTTAATAACTAATGAGGTAGAAAGATAATTCAAGGGGTCTGATTTAATAATAGATGCTTGATATTAACATAAACCATCATATTCAGATTTCTTTTAGTTCATCCTCTTCTCAAACTAAGTTCTGCTTTAAAAGAATATGCCACAAAGCCATTTAAATACAGCTCCTCCCTAGCCCATGTCTCCTGGAATACGAAGACATATTTATTAACTAATTTAATGAAAGATGGAAGTGCAAGTTTACTCAGCCATCTCATAATGTTCCAGGACAGACGTGTTATTTGAGAGCTTGGCTGGCCGAATCTTTGTTAAGAGGTTTAGAATAAGGAGGAGTGCTTTTACTTTTTACACAATTTTGTTTTGAAGACCAGTTCACAATATTAAGAGACCTTTAGTGCTAGCACCCAGAGGAGTTCCTACATCCTGTGCAATGTGGGGATCATCTTTGGGATGAAGTTTGGATCCATGTACATCAGGTCCATCTTAAGAGCATTATGGGCCCAGGGCAAAGCAGTGTACTGGGGCCCCTACGACAACTACAACTACTGTTAATTTTGGAAGTTTTCCAATTTTCCAAGGGCTAACATACACAGATTAGTATGGGGCCCATGGGCAAGTGCCCATCAGGCCCATGCGTTAAGACGGCCCTGATGCACACAATCACTGAGTCCTGGTGAAATATGCAGAAATCTTTCCTGATAGAAAGAGTATTCAATACTGAAATTCTGTGAACTGATGCAATTGTGACTAGGAACTCAGTCTTCCATGACAGATTGCATACAGCAGTCTGTCAATTAGTGCTACGGTGAGGGTCTTCATGACCTTATTCATATTTTAAGTACTCATCACTGTGTACTAGTTTTGTTTCATTCTGTCAGGGTATGCAGACAAAAGGGCATTACCGGTGGTTGATTTGACTGTCCTGAGCATGCCACTTGCTTTTGGATCATCCACCAAAATTCTCCTGATGTTGGCCTGTGCTAGGCTGACCCCATTCCTTCCCACTCAGCTGACAAGGGCCCTCCAGATAAGTTCATAGATTCCCTGCAAGTAGACAGAATTGCACCCATCACCCCATAAGCCTAACTGGTTTTGTAGTATATTCTTGTGAAGCAGAACCCTTTCTTCAATTTTAACCATTCAGTCACCAACCATGGACCTGTAGCCAACCTGGGTTTGAAACTTTCTGCCCTTTATGAAACAGGTATTACTTTACTGGCAGGAGCCAGAGCTTCCCTTCAGACATAACTGCTGGTTCAAAGAACCACATCCTTTTGAGCTAGAATGGTATTAAGTTTGCTAAAGTCCTTTCTGGTCTGATTTTCCCTAACCAGTAGAGCCACTGAGGGAAATGTGCAGAGGCGGACACTGGTTAGAGTGCTGTGAGGTCATATATGCTTTGGGATTCTTCTGATTGGAACCTAGAGAAGAATCTTGATAGTTTGAGGTTGGCTTGGGAGGCAAAGAGGTCTATTACCAGCATTCCCAGTCTGGCCATAATGGGATCAAACAGCTGTTGGTTCAGGCTCCACTTCCCCTGGTCTATGTCCTATCTGATCAACCAGTCTGCTCTAGAGTTCAGCTCCCCTTGCATGTATTCAGGTCACAGAGATACTAGAGTGGTTCTGATCCAGTCTACTAGGAACTGAATTTCTTGCATGTTCTGGAACCTCCTTGATAGTTTATCTGCGTTTTGATGTCATACTGTTTGGGCAGACTAGGACTTCCTGTCCCTGCAAGAAAGTCTTGAAGTTTCTTAGGAACAGTTTATGTTATGCACCTTTTTTTCTACTGACTATGAATCCAGTTTTATGTTTACTGTGAAGATAACATCCTCCCCATCCTCTCAGGCTCCTGCCTAATGTGACTTGTATTCTGAGTTTTCCACAGTTTTCTCCTCTCTTTATACATGGGGTGAGCTACCAGGTGAACAACTCCTTCCTTTCTTATATGACCCTAACCTGTCAGTGCTACTTGAGTGCTATCTAATTTTGTAGGGGCAGAGGGAGCCATTGTAGACAGCACAAGTGTCTCCTTGGCCATGAGACAGCATCTAGGCAGGGTATCCTTCTCCCTGTAAGAAGGCTGAAAGCATAAGCTCTGAAGACTTTGATTTCCTCATCTGATGATTTCCTAGTTTCTTGATGATTTCCTGGATCTTTTCTGTCTGTAGCTACAGAGATCCTCCCTGACATTATGTCTAGGATAACCCTGGGTATTTTGGTGTTAGACTAGTTATTTTTCTTTACAAGGAGGTCATGATCTTGAAGGTATTGTAGTGCAGGAAAGGAGGCGGACTTGATCTAGGTGGGAGTAGACATGATTTTTTTCTCAGAGAAGTGCGGTCACTAGTGGTACCATTATTTTTGTAAAGGCACTTGGAGATGCCAATAGGCTGAACAGTAACTTTTTGTAATGGAAACATCTCACCTGGTACATAAAGCACAGATGTTCCCAGTGTGCTGGGTGGAGATATGCTTCCATGAAGTCAATAGATACTAAGCCATCCTCTTGCTAGATGCTATCCCCAACAGATCTGAGTATCTCTATGTGGAGCTTGCATTTTTTCATTAAATGGCTTCGTTAAGTCGATTAGAATTGTCACCCACTTCCTGTTCTTTTTCAGGACCATGAAAATTAATTCTTTTAAGTGTAAAATATATGGTTAAAAAGCATTGTGGTGGTAGATGTGCTCTGTGAAATTTCATTTGGAGAGAGTTCTCCTTCCTTCCTATCAGATGGGGGTGGGGAGACAGAGGCCCCATCATTTCACTCTTGGCTTGCAGAGCTTGCCCTTTCTTTACTTCTTCCACTGAAGTATGCTCAGTGTAGGCCACAGCAGTTTCAAGGGTTTCCTGCAACTGACTATAGCTGCAATAGGACTGCATATTGTTGCTGTTCTCTTTGCTCTTGCCTGTTGCAGGGCTTTATCTGGATCTGTCTGCCCCTTCTGACAAGAGTCTGTGTATTCATGTTGACTGTCACCCATCTAAGCAATACAGCTCTCATGCATCCTGGTGTGCCCGCCAGCAGGGAAGTGGGATGCAGACAAAGAAGAGAAGACCTGCATTCTCATCCCTCCAGTCATGACATTTCTATGCTTGTCTCCCTCCTTGTCTTGTCACACTTTCTGGCAGCACTTCTTCATTGCTGAGAGAAACGCTGGGCCCAGGAGGAATATGGTTGCAGGTCTCTCACTCTGGCCTGCCCAATCCATTGGTAAAAATCTGGTTAGAGCACAGTGTGAGGAGGTTTGTCTGGTAGCATCTCCCATGGCGCTGGTACTTACCCTTGTCCCATACGTGCTATACTCTACAGCTGGGGAGGCTCTGTGGTTGTGATTTGTGCTTGCTTCTTCTGCTCAATTGTCTCCAGGTGGGAATTTGGTTGCTATAAACTTGGCTGTATCTTGGATGGAGGTGGCTGCACCACTCCTTGCTCTTCATGGGTTGGGCTTTTGGACTTGTTCCTGCACTGAGTTGGTATGGGTCCAATTGAGAAATCCTAATAACTTCAATGAAAGCAATAGATTTGCCTACATATACCAGTTGCTAAGCAATACAGGTGGAAGGTTGCTATTGCACTCATGACCTGCTTGTGGATGTTTCCTGGGTATCTGGTTGGCACCAGTGCGAATAAAATGATAGACCAGGTGGACCCTTGGTTCTTCATATATTATTATGTTACCACTTTTCCTTGGCTTTTGTGAGCTGGCACATTTTTATTTTGTTTATTTTTGTATGGTTTGTGAGAAGTTGGAAGAGCTTGGTGATGCCCTACCAGCCAAAGCTTAGGTGGGTCCAGAAACTGGAAAGGTGCCTTCCCAATAGATAGCTATCTGCAACACAAATTTAATATAGCCCTGCTTATCAGAGCTACTGGTAAAAGCAACATGCACAAGGATGCCCTCCACCACTTAGGATAAAAATATCCCATGCTTCCAGAATTTCATGTTTAAAGTAGCCTAATGCAGAAGCACAAAAGTAGCCCATGTGATAATCTTCAATGCAGAAGAACTCCCAGGGAGTAAGCAACATTATGCACCTCATGCTAATTTTTCCAAATATCTTTTGTCTCGGGCTAGCAAATATAAACTGCCGCCTGTAAAGTATTTGCAATCCTGAAAAGCCCAATTTTAAACCTCAAGAACTTAAATGTCACGTTATCAACCTTCTGCCTAAATGCCAAAGTTCCATATTTGACCATTACACAGATCTATACACTGCAGCTAAAGAAGGAACCAGCTAGCCTTCTATCAGGGTCTACGGTATGTGAGTTAGTGCTGATCCAGAGCAAACTCTTTCCAGTGAAGCTCTGCATGCATGCTTACCAGGGCAGTAGGCATCAAGGTCCAGTTTTGGCGCTGAAGAAAGAGTTGGTGAGCCAAGCTCTGATTCTGGGATTCGAGGGCTCTCAACAAATTTTGCCTTCCTTAGTGGAGCTTAAGAAGAGAGAAACATAAGGAAAGCATAAGTAAGAGAACGGTAAATAATGCATGGCAACACTTAACAAAGTATGTCAGGCTAATATCAGGTTGATCTTTAATGCCAGAAGAGGAACTCTGCATTCCCAGGAAGAGATCATATTTAACAACTGCAAGTGAAGACAGGCCCCCGCCCTGCCCCCATTTAATACTCAACATTTAATACTCTCTCACTACTTTTTGTTAATCATTGTCTTTTGAAAAATGTAGGGATGAAGACTTACATATATTAGACTTTAGCCAATATAAGAATAATTAACACAGCAATCCTGTATATAATTGTTCAGAAGTAAGTCCCACTATTTGCACAGTCATTCTTTTGCAAGACAGGTTAGCAAGGATCACTTACCAAAAAAATGGGTATGGAATTATTCACCTTCTACTGTTATCTAAACAATTCCCACTTCATAGTCAATCTTGTAAGCCACTTAAGAACAAATTGTGTACCAGAATGCCTAAATATGTCCTGCCTTGCACCTTCCTTTCTTCTAAGTATAACTTCATTTCCATCCCAGATGACATAAAGATATATGACTACAAATCACACCGTGTTATCCCCAGTGAGTTTTTCTTTCAAGCTTTAAAACAGAGATTGGAAACTGCTTTTCCCATCATAAGAATATGGGAATTATCAGAGGCAACATGGTGGCAGAAGGCAGGGTCAAAGCACTCTCAATAGTGGGAGAGGCTATCCTGTTTCTCTCTTTTTCTGAACCTCCCTTCCCTTACTTTGGAAGGGGCAGTATCTTGGCCGCAATATTGCACTGAACTTGTTTACCAAATTAAAATATTCCATCACCACTAAAGAAAAGACAAATGTATTTGTGAATCCCTGGGTCTCAAGAGGGTTTTTTTTCCCCATGAGCAGCCTGCATTAAAATTGCTCCATTGGTATATTGGCTAGACTTTTGTTGCAATGTGAAAGCAGATTACACACATCAGTCAAATGAGAATGATAACAAAATATAATAAAACACCATGAGTGTGCATACTGCTTGACAGAATTTAAAAGAACATTTTCCCACCCCTTGACATTTGCAACCTATAAAAGAGTAGAACAATGTTTGGGGCTATGAGTGACACTAGCTTCAGAAGAGTACACTGGGACCACATTCCGAGCCCAAAGTGAATTAGGCTGCCCTTGCTGGGTCAAGATTCTTGTCTGGACAGACACACTTTGCATGCATGCACACGCACACACACCATTCACATACACATCCATATACTACTATTCACATGCCTGCAGCTCCATTCATTTTCACATGGATATGCTCACACAGAGATTATGCTTCTGCTGTTTTTTCAGGGATATTTCCTTGTACTAATCTCTCCACCAACACCTACCCAACTCAACAGGATCCCCTGACCATTTGTACAGAATGAGGTTGATAAGACCACTTATACCAGCCTAATCACATCTGCCGAAACATAGATTCACAGCGCTGTAATTCAGAGAAGCTTGCCAAGTTTACAAGAAATAAATGAGCAAGCTTTCTGTTAAAGGAAATCTTGATTTATGAAGAAAATCTGATATTTGACTAATACTTTCCTTGTTTTATCAAACTACGCTTTAATCAGCAGAATTTTAGAGTACTTCAATTTCTTAGCAATTACACATTTCGTAGAACACAAAAAAGATCAACTTCTTCATGCTGACAAAATAACTGACACTGAACCTACTAACATAATGCCTAAATCTGTGATTTCCTGATATATTAAACAACTAGGACAAAAAAGACCAATATTTCATAAGCCCCATATTTTCCTCAGAATGAAGAATGTTCCAAGTAATGCAATCTAGAATTATATATAATGCTAACTATTAAAAACTTTAAATATTAATTCCTTAATATTAAGAAACTATTAAAAGAAAAAGATGTACATTTTTTATTCAAATTTTATCTTAGACTTATTTACCTAGTTAGGATACTAATTGCTGTGTTCATGTATCCACATCTGACAGGATTTTTTCCCTCCACTTACAGAGCTTAGTACTTTATTACAATTATTACATTACATTTATATCCTGCCTTTCTTCTTCTTGCAAGCAACCCAAGTGGCTAACAAGGTTCTCCTCTCTTTATCTTCACAGCAATAAACAAGTTAGGTACGTTAGACAGAGAGCCCGTAACTAGCCCAAAGTCACCCAAGTGAGTTCCTGAGTTCCATGGCAGACTGGGGACTAGAATCTGGTTTTCCCGATGCCCTGTCCAACTTTCTAACCACTTCACCACATCAGTTCTCCACTTCTTTACAAAATTGAATATATATATATATATATATATATATATATATATATATAGTGTGTGTGTGTGTGTGTGTGTGTGTGTGTGTAAATTAAAAATTTTAAACTAACACTAAACAAAAAACAAAAAAAATCAAACATCACAAACATTGGATTCACTGGGTCAACCTCCTACTACATATTTTTAACATTCTAATATCAAATTCAAATTAATTTATCATAGTTTGAAAAACATCTCTAAATTTACGCCAAGTCCCGTTTCTCCAGTCAATTATAAAAAGAGTCCCAAGTTCGGTAGAAATCAGTATCCTCTTTCTCCTTCTACGATAAAGTCAGTCTATCCATTTCAGCACAGTCCAAAATCTTTCTTACAATCATTACAAAATGGAATTCTAACAATATAGCTTTCAAAATCTATAATCTTTCAATCAAAACACACTATACTAATATGTTTTCCCATCAAAGCTCACTTTTCGAAAGAAGGGTATTGCTTGACACCTTGAAAATCACCACAAATTTCATGAATAATTGTGAAGAGGATTTAGATGTTTATGGAACATTCAAATACTTAGGACACAATCCTATGCATATTCACACACACACACACACACACACACACACCAATCTCAATATTCCCCAGCATCCCTTGATGGCATACTCTAGTATCATTCCAGAGGCCTTCTTGGGAAACTGGCAACATACAAAGTTCTGCTCTTGCTGTCTTTGCTCCCTTGAACAGTGTAAAAGAAAAGCTGTTAAATGAAAGTAAAGAAGGGCACAATTCTGTTGGGTATGTGCAAAACTTGAGTTCACCAAAGTTCTTTAAATTCCATCTCAAAGCTTGTTCAGACTGCAGTCCATACCAGGTTGTAAGTGTTGATTTTTCTTTCTTTTCTCATGAAAGTCTCTGTGAGTATATTTTTTCAAATGCACTGAATCATAAATATGTCCTCATTCTTTCAAGCATATTTGTGTGCATTTTTCAAAGGAACACATGCTGTCAAGCACATTTGTTCCAGTCCACAAATCATACCATAAGCTTGGTAATGTATGGATTTCAGCTGTGGAATGTATCAGAGTCCATGTCTGGACTGAAAAGTGAGCACTGGGTAAATACTTATAGCATGTGAATTAATACTAATTTCTCATACATCTCCAAATTCTGTGCATTATGGTAAAACACAACACAAAACAAAGCAGGCCTGTTCACTGGTGCATATCACAGTAAATAGATTCACCCAGCATGAAAAGTCATGGTGGTTTTCACCATTGTTGGTCTATTGCATCATCTGAAGGCAGTCATATAATTCAGCAAGGTAAATTTGTTTTTTAAAATCCACAAACAGAAACCATGGTCTGCTCTATGGTTTCTCTGTACTGTGATGGCTTGTTGTGTCATCTGAACACAGAAAACACAATTCAACATGGTACCAGGGCCAGCACCAGACAGTAGCAAGGCAAGACTGGCCCTAGTATTAGATTCCTGGAAGAGGGTAGGTAATTCAAAAGAACACAACTATCCTTAAATATCTGAATTATTACTTCTTCCCATAAGGAAGATGCTTTGCAAAAACATATGGAGAAGAGAAGCAGTAACATCATTACAACTCCAACAATTGGCCAATTTAATTAAACAAAGATACAGATATGTAGGAGAGAAAGACAGTCTTATTATTGCAAAAGTGATATTGGGAAAGAGTAAGGAATGAGATACAGCTTACATCACTAGTTTAACCAGACTGCTCACAATGCTCAGGGTGATCTTGAGATGGAAAATGAAATTAAGGAAGCCTCAGACAAAGTGTTTAATAGTGGATGACTTCCACTACCCACACATTCACTGGATAAATGCATGTTCCAATTCTGATAGAGAGGTTAAATGTCTCAGTGTCCTGAATGACTGTACCCTACAGCAGCTGATCATGGAAGCAACCAGAGCGGAGACAATCCTGGATTTAAACATAGGTCCAAGACACAGTACGAGATGTACATGTCAAACTTGTTGGAAATATGGACCATGGTGCTATCAAATTTAATATTCGGTTAAGTAGAAGACTGCTACGAGAGGTACAGCAAAGCCATGTTTGACTTCAGAAAAGGAAACTTCTCTAAAATGAGGGAATTCATAAAAAAAGAAGCTGAAGGAGGAGTCAAGAGGGTTAAACCCCTTCAAACTGCTAGGAGAACTCAGAGAGGTCGTTGAGGCCCCATCGGTGTGGGTGTTCAAGGATAGGCTGGACGTCCACATGGTGGGCATGTCGTGAGCGGAGTCGGCTGGTGCTGGAGGTCAGACTAGATGGCCCGGGAGACCCCTTCTGACTCGTTCTGTTTTCTATGTTTCTATGTTTCTAACTCCAATAATAAAGATGCAGACAATATTCATACAAGTGAAGAAAGGCAGCACAAAGTCACCAACATGGTTAACAAATACAGTAAGGGAAGTTATTTGAGAGAGGAAGGCTTCCTTCTAGAAATGAAAATCTTGCCCAAATCAGGAAAATGAAAGGGAGCACAAGCTTGACCAAGGGAGATGTAAGCACACAATAAAAGAAGTAAAGAAATGTTTTGAGAAGCAAATCATTAACAAAATCAAGGCCAACAATAAAGAAACTTTTAATATAGCTAAAGGTGTATATTTTGAAAAAAGAAGCCAGATAGAGAAGCAGTTGGACAACTGCATGATTTGGGAATTAAATTAGGAATTAAGGAGCAT